TTTAGTTGCCATGTTGTTGTTGTTGTTGTTAAGTACCGTGGAGTTCTTTCCGACTCATAGTGACCCTGCACAGGGTTTCCGAGGCTATAAATCTTTACAGGAGCAGAATGACTCATCTTTCTCCCGTGGAACCGCTGGTAGTTTTGAACTGCCAACCTTGAGGTTAGCAGCCCGATTTGTAACCATTACACTACTAGAGCTCCTTGTTATTACTGTGGCATAACGCCAGTTCTGACTCATAGTGACCCCATATTCACAAAACTGCCCAGTCTGATACCATCTTTACAATTATTGCTATGTTTGAGCCACTGTGTCAACCTATCTCATTGAAAGTCTTTCTCTTTTTCACTGACCCTCTAGTTTACCAAGAATGATGTCTTTCTCCAAGGACTGGTCCCTCCTGATAACAGGTCTAAAGTACATGAGACAAAGTCTCATCAAACTTGTTCCTAAAGTGCACTGTGACTGTACTTCTTCCAGGACAGAATTGTTCATTCTTAAGGCAATCGATGAAACATTTAATATTTTTGGTCAACATAGTTCAAAGTCTTCATTCATTAATACTTTATTCATTGACCAGCTTTTTCATGCATAGGAGAAACTGAAAATACCACGGCTTGGGTCAGATGCACCTGCGTCCTGATAGTGACCACCTTTGCTATTTAATACTTTAAAGAGATCTCTTGCAATTTGCCCAATGCCATATGTCATCTGATTTTTTTTGACTGCTGCTTCCATGGGCATTGATTGTGGATGAATCCAAGTGACATAAGACCCTTGACAACTTCAATCTTTTCTCCATTTATAATGATGGCACTCATTGGTCCAGTTTTGAGGATTTGGGTTTTCTTTACATTTAGGTATATTCCATACCTTCATCATTAACTGTTTTAAATCCTCTTTACTTTCAGCAAGCAAGGTTCTGTTATGTGCAGATTGCAGATTTTAAATGAGTCTTCCTCCAATCCTGATAGCTCATTATCCTATAGTCCAGCTTCTCATACAGATTGAATAAATACGGTAAAAGTATACAACTCTGACATACACTTTTCCTGATTTTAAACCATGCAGTATCGCCATATTCTGTTTGAACTATTGCGTCTTGGTGTATGTAAAGATTGCACTTGAGCAAACTTAAGCACTCTGGAATTTCCATTTTTCACAATGCTACCCATAATTTGTTATGATCCACACAAATGTCTTTACGTGGTCAATAAACTACAGGTACCCATCATTCTGGTGGGGTGCTGTGGGTTAATGCACCAGACTGTAAAACCATTTGAACTGCAAGGCGGTGCTTCAAGCTCACCAGCTGCTCCTTGGAAACCCTATGCAAAGTCACTATGGGTTGGAACTGACTTGATAGCACTTCACAACAACAACAACAATCATTCTGGTATTCTCTGCTCTTATGCAAGAGCTCACATCAGCAATTATATTCCTTGTTTCATTTTCTCTTCTGAATCTGACTTGAATTCTGGAAGTTCCCTCTTGATGTATTCCTATAACCATTTTTAAATTATGTTCATCAAAATTTTACATGTGATATTTATGATATTTTTCAGTAGCTTCCACATTCCACTGAATCACCTTTCTTTGGAATAAACACAAATATGAATTTCTTTTAATTGGTTGACCTTGTTGTCTTCCTAAATGCTTGACATAGATAAATGAGTGAACACTTTAAGCATTACATAAGTTTGTTGAAACATCTCAACTGGCATTCCATCAATTCCTGGAGTCTTGTTTTTTGGCAATGCCTTCAGGCCAGTTTGACACACTTTACCTCCATCTTCCTTTTTTGTGTGTGAATTGAGTGATAGTTTACATGGGCGAACATCAGTTTTACATTCATTCATCCTATCGTATTTTGTATCATTGCAATTACTACAATCCCCTCTGTGCATTGTCATTCAACAGCATTTGCTTCCATTCCTTCTGGGTTTTTTTATTTTTTTTGGCTATATACCGAAGCACTCAAGAATATATAACTATTCAAACAACTAAAGGGCATACCCTGTAAGCCTGACCCCCGGCCGCCAGCACACAGCCCCTCTCCCTCCTTGAGTCTAGAGTTCCTAGCTGCTCCATCTCTTCATGTCATCATTTCTGCCTCCATCTCTGGCATCACTGCTTCTCTGGATAGGGTCCCATACTCCGCTCTTCTCCTTTGATGGTCCCAGGGTTCTCCACTCCTGGACTGCAAGATAAACCATCCCCTTCCTTTTGTTAAAAAATTTCTACCTTTACATTTGCAACAATCACAATCAGTCCTGATACCAGTTACTCACTACTAAACCACAATAGTCTTATCCCCATCTCCTTTCACCAGTCCCGTCTAGACAGGTTGGAAACCACTCAATTCTTCCATCTTCTTTTTATGCTTCATACATTGTTCAGTATTTGCCCATGTTGTTGTTGTTAGGTGCCATCGAGTCGGCACTGACTCATAGTGAGGCTATGCACAGCAGAACAAAACAATGTCCAATCCTGGGCCAACCTCACTACTGCTGCCACACTTGAGTCCATCGATGCTGCCACCTGCCCAATCTATCTCACTGGGGGTCTTCCTCTTTTTCTCCGACCCTCCATCTTACCAAGCATGATATCCTACTCCAGCAACTGTTCCTTCCTGACAATATGTCCAAAGTATGAGAGATGAAGTTTGGCCATCTTGGCCTCTAAGGAGCACTCTGGCTGCACTTCTTCCAAAACAGATCTATTGGTTCTTTTGGCAGCCCATGGCACTTTTAGTATTCTCCTCCAACACCATAATTCAAATGCATCAATTCTTCTATGATCTTGCTTATTCACTGTCCAGCTTTTGCATCCATATGAGGTTATTGAAAATACCATGGCTTGGGTCAGGCGCACCTTAGTCTTCAAGGTGACATCTTTTTCGCTCTTCAACGCTTTAAAAAGTTCCTGTGCAGCAGATTTGCCTAATGCAATACATCGTATGATCTCTTGACTGTTGCTTCCGTGAGTGTTGATAGTTGATCCAAGAAGAATGAAGTCCTTGACAACTTCAATCTTTTCTCCATTGATAAGAATGTTGTTTATTGGTCCAGTGGTGAGGACTTTTGTTTTCTTGACACTGAGATGTAACCCATACCGAAGGCTGCGCTCTTTGATTTTCATCAGTTAATGTCAGCAAGCAAGGTTGTATCATCTGCATATCGCAGGTTGTTAATGAGTCTTCCTCCAATCCTGATGTCACGTTTTTCTTCATATAACCCAGTTTTTCGTATTATTTGCTCAGCATACAGGTTGAATAAGTATGGTGAAAGAATACAACCTTGTTGCACACCTTTCTTAATTTTAAAACATTCAGTGTTCCCATGTTCTGTTCGAACAACTGCCTCTTGGTCCAGGTACAGAATCCTTCAATACACCAACCTGAGACTTGAATTTTTTTTTTCTTTTTTTTTTTTTTTGCAGTTCTTTCAATTTGAGAAATGTTGAGCATGTTTTTTTCTAACTCCAGAAATACTGCACATTTCATATAATAGTTTAAATTTGCACATTTCAAACAATACTTTAAACTGTTTTTTGACATATTAAAATCATCCTTTGAAATCTTTAATTGACATATTCTATTATAAATGTATATAACTTTTACCCATTTTCCTAGTGATGGAAATACATATTGTTTCCATTTTTCTTGTAAACAACGCTGCAATGAACATTTTTGGACATGGTTATTGGCCCAGCCTTAACTCTTTAGCTTTTACTCTCAGTTCTCTTCCTGTCACTCTAGATTCACTTCATAACTAAATTCCATTCGCTTGTTCAACCAGAACATGATTCCCTGCCTTCTGACCTTTATAAACAGCTCCTTCCCAATCAGCACATTTATGCACATCCCATATATCCAACTCAGATGCTACTTCACTGGGATGACATCTCTAACATCCTCATGCTTCGTTAAGTTTTCCTCCTATGTACATTCTCAGGTCCCTAAACTCTGATAATTATTTGTATTTTAATTACTTGTTTAATTGTCAATTAGAGTATGGTGAGAGAATCTATGATAATAGAAAGCATCTAACACAAAACTTGGCAAATCACAAGTGTTCAATAGATGTTTTGAATGAATTCATAAAGACACATAAAAACTCAGTTAATTCTTAATAATCCATTGTATATACGTATGTATACATGGTTAATAAAACATTTCTACTCTAACTCTAGATTGTAGATTTTAAGTTTCTTTTAAAAAAATTTGAGTTGTATTTTCTAAGTCCTGAATTTAAATCCCTGTATGACAGCTGTTGCTTTGTAAAGATGCCTAAGCTGATTTTAAAGTCATGTTTTATAATGCTTGTTGTTAAGTACCTTGGAGTCAGTTCCGAGGCTGTAAATTTTAATAGGTGCAGACCACCTCATCTTTCTCCCTTGGAACCGCTAGTAGTTTCGAACTGCCGACCTTGAGATTAGCAGCCTGATTCGTAACCACTATGCTAACGGAGCTCCTTTATAATGCTCAGGGAGAGAAAACCAGGTTGGCAGTTCTCCTCTCAAAATTCACTCTTAACACTATTTTTTATTTGGCTATTTGCACATTATAAAAGCTGCAAGGACCCAGAATCTCCTCAATATACTGAGAGAGCTTTCAAAAACAAGAACTGTCCCAAAAAGGAAGCCTGCGATAGGAAATTCACTGCTAGAGGACCTAAAATGGAATTATTGTTATTATTATTTTTTAAAGAAATCAATATTATTTTGAACCCCATCATTTGCTAACTAAGCGGGACCGATGAGTTTTAAAGTCATTTATAATCCTAAATGCCTATATTTATTTAAAATATTTATGAGCAATGAGTCATTTTATCCTCGTCTCTCCTCCCCAACCCTACCAGTGATTGTATTCAACTAACTTCAAAACCTAACCTTGTATTTTCATGTTTTTCAATTTTATATGTTCTTTATAAATGGACTGTAACAATTATTTCAAATGACTAAATTATATTAATTATATGCTGAATTTCCTCAGAAACATGAGCAGGTGGACTTGTTGGATTTGTAAGAAATGCAGAGATGAATCTAAGAGACCCCCTTCAAAGTAAGTAGCATTTTCTTCCGATGATCACTGTAAAACATATCCATCACATAAGAAGTAGGTGTATTTTAATTAAACGTTATCTTAATATAGATTTTATAAAGGAAAATTTGCATCTAAACATGAACGATAAGATTTCAAGACCATTTTCTAAAATTCAGAACACTTAAATCCTTATTATTCAGATTTGTTTCTTTTCAGACATTTTCTCAAATTTTTTTGTTATTCTTGGCTTAGGAGTTAAATGTTTCTAGAGGGTCTTATTATTAATAAAAATTCTTCATGTTTTATAGTTTTCTATTGTTTATGTTAATAAGATTCTTTGATCCAAATTAATCTAATACCAATGGTTCAAAACCTCCACGTATTAAGGGTTAGAATCATTCATCTCTAGATGGAGGTAAGGTTGGAGGGGTAACTAAATGCTTACCAAGCTCTCAAGTCCCATCAATATTCTGATATACCTAAAAATATAACCATTTCAAACCACTGACCTTTTTATTAGTTGTTGTTGTTAAGTGCTGTCAAGTCAGTTCTGACCCATAGCAGCCCTGTATAGGGTTTCCGAGGAGCAGCTGGTGAGCTTGAACCACCAACCTTGCAGTTCAAATGGATTTGCAGTCTGACACATTAGCCCGCAGTGCCAATCCACCAGGGCTCCTTTGGATGAAAGCAGTAGCTACTAAAATCCCTACAAAAGAGTAACAAAATATTTTAATTGGATTACTGACTTCACATAATTTTTAGAGCCAGAATTCCTAGAGGTTATTTGTGTGTCCCCAGACTGATCCAAGGAGTCTTGATCCTTGGTACAACAGGGTAAGCACAAGCCCACCAGTGATACCTTGTTGTTGTTGTTATGTGCCGTGGAGTCAGTTCTGACTCATAGCGACCCTGTACAGGGTGTCCGAGGCTGGAAATCTTTATGGGAGCAGAAAGCCTCATCTTTCTCCTGAGGAACAGCTGGTAGTTTTGAACTGCTGACCTTGCTGCTCGCAGCCCGATTAGTAACCACTACGCTACCAGAGCTCCTTAGACACCCTATATAGAGTTGTTATGAGTAAAAACTGACTAGACAGCACTTAACAACCACAACAACCTGATCCAAAAGAGTCCTAGTCGGGTAGTGGTTAAGAACTCAGCAGCTAACCCAAAGAACAAAGTTTCAAACTCACCAGCAGCTCAATGAGAGAAAGATGTGGCTATCTGTTTCCATAAGCTCTACAGCCTTGGAAATCCTATAAAGCAGTTCTACCCTGTTCTATAGAGTTTATCTGAGTCAGAATCAATTTGATATCAACAGAAGGAGACCTCAGTCTCTGGCTACATCTGTCTTCTATAGTCAGAGCTGCTGACATGCATGTTCTTATCCTGGAATACAGGAATACTCCAAAATGTTTACAAGTTACTCGGGGTGGGGGTGGGGTGGGAGTGTTCCGACTCATAGTGAGCTTGTACAGGTTTCCAAGGCTGTAAATCTTTATGGGCACAGAAAGCCTCATCTTTCTCCCACAGAACAGGTGGTAGTTTCAAACTGCTAACCATGAGATTAGCAGCCCTGATTCGTAACCACTACGCTAAATACAGAGTTGTGTCTACAGAGAAACACATAAGATTGATTTGGGAGCAGCTTCCTTCTTTTCTCCTGATCACTCTGCATTTCTTGCATTTGTTACCTGCCTCTTAGACCCATCATCCAGGAAAGGTAAAGTCAAGTAAAGATTTCACAGTCACAGCATGCTGCTAGCTGACTGTCATCTGATAGTTGCTTTACTCTCACTACCTAATTTAATCTGCATGGTAACTTCATGAGATAAATAATATCATCCCCATTTTGTAGATAATAAAACTTGATATGGAGTTTTCAATTAACACCCAAAGTAAGTATGTTGTTGTTGTTAAGTGCTGTCGAGTTAGTTCTGACTCATAATGACCCTGTATAGGGTTTCCAAAGAGTGGTTGGGGAGTTTGAACTGCCAACCTTGTGGTTCAAACCCACCTTGAGGTCCAGAGCATTATCCTGCAGCACCACACCAGGACTCCAAAAGTAAGTATAGCACTGGGATTAAAACCCATGAGTGTCACGTTTCAAATGATTTTCATTTCCTTCTCCACAATGTCTTGATATTTCAAAACATCTGGCCTGAATCCATCATATATGTCTAAAAAAAGGGAAGGAACACAAAATTGAAATTTTTATCTGGAAATTTAGGTGGCTGCAGGGACACAGGTGTTTAGAATAATAATTATAAGGGCATCTGGATAGTTATGAAGCAGCATGAAATTTATGGGATACCCAGAGAATATTCTAAGAAAAAATGAGGTCAAGCCAAAAACAAATTGCAGTTCACACCACAACTTTACCTCCAACCATGATAATTCCACTCATGATCTACTTCCATAAATCTCATAAATCTTAGGGGTAAAATAATTCTTTGACCAATGATTGTTGTTGTTGTTGTTGTGAAGTGCCATCAAGGCAGTTCTGACTCATAGTGACCCTGTATAGGGTTTCCTGAGGAGCAGCTGGTGAATTTGAACTGCCGACCTTGCAGTTTAAACGGCTTTACACTCTGGTGCATTAACCCACAGCACCACACCAGGACTCCAGTGATTGTCAACACCCAATTTTTCTCATAAGGATCCCTGCCTGGTAACATAGTGGATTATGAATTAGGCTGCAAACCACAAAGTTGGTAGTTGGAATCTACCAGCTACTCCCCAGGAAAAAAGTGAGAATTTCTGCTCCTGTAAAGATTTACAAACTCAGAAACCCAAAACAAGGTTGCTATGAGTCAGAATTGACTCCACAGCACAAAGTCATCACCAGCAATTCGTCTCATATGCATATGAAAGTTGGACAATGAATAAGGAAGCCCATCAAAGAAGTGATGTATTTGAACAACGGTATTGGAAAAGAATATTGAAAAACTCATGGAGTACCAGAACAAACAAATCTGTGTTGAAAGAAGTACAGCCAGTGCTCCTTAGAAGCAAGAACGGCAAGACTTCTTCTCTCATGCTTCAGACATATCATAAGGAGGGAACAGTCCCTGGGAGACATTACGCTTGGTCAAGTGGAGAGTCAACAAAATCGAGGAAGACCCCCAATGAGATGGACTGGCACAGTGGCAGCAGCAATGGGCTCAAGCATAACAACAATTGTGAAGATGGTATAGGACTGGGCAGTATTTCATTCTGCTGTGCATAGGATCACTATTAGTCAGAACTTACTCAACAGCATTTCACGACAACAACAATTTTTAAATGGAGCCTTCAGGGGGTGCAAATGATTAACAAATTCAGCTCCTAGTTGAAAGTTTAGAGGCTCAATCCACCCAGAGGCACCTCAAACAAACAAACAAAAACCCTGTTGATCTATTTCTGAAAAACTAGTCATTGAAAACGTAATGGAGTATAGTTCTACTCTAACACACAGGGATCAGAGTCAGAAGCTACTAGGAATGAGTCCGAATCTAGTAGGGGCAACTGGTTTTGTAGTAATTTTTAACCCAAGATGCTGATGGTATCTTCAATTATGCTATAGCTTTTATTCTTTCCCATATCATGGGGATGGGTAGAAGAGATAAGCATGCAATATGAGGGTAAGTAAAGTAAAATTTCATGAATGAACTGGAACCAAAGTAAGAATACTTTTTGACTTACCCTTATATTGCATGCATATCTATTCTACCCATGTCTCTGTGATCAGTGGATGGCTAAACACAAGTTCTCTCACTTGTCTTAGTCTCACTGGGGTGCCTTCAAAAAAAGATCCAGTCAAAACAATGGCGTCCAAGTGGATCTACTAGGCTAGTAAAATTCAAGATAGAGAAGTCAGATCAGAAGGCTATGGCAACAGTTCCAACTGTGTATTCTAGATAGATTTTTCTTGAAGGGCACAGGACAATCACAGTGGCTTATTGAAAATTTTAAGAAAATTGAAAAAGTGCATTCGTGAGAAAAAAAATAAGGAAACTTGCACCCAGGAAGTTTTGGTTTGTTTATTTGTTATTTTTGTTTGTTTGTTTCCATAATGATAATATACCTTTAAGGTAGCAAGAGATGTCCTCTGAGAATTTCACTGGGAAACCTTATTCCACCCACCATACAGCCCTGAGATCTTGTACCTTCAGACTTCTTTTCATTCCCCAAAGTGAAAAAACACTTAAAAGGAACTTGATTTGAGTCGTTAATTCGCTGGATGGCAATTGACTCAAATCAAACAGACTCAACACACTCAGAGCTAACAACTGAACAAGAAAAACAAGGACATCAAAGCTGCGGTCTTCACGTGGTGTAAATTGGAGAGCACAGAATTCTTTGAGGAAGAGTTGTTGTTAGGTGCCATCAAGTCAGTACCGACTCACAGTGACCCTATGCACAACAGATGAAAACACTGCCTTCAGAAGTGTACAGACCTAGATGGAGGATATGTTGAGAAACAGAAGCTTTACATTGTGATATTTTTATTTAATAAATGTTTCCATGATTTTGTAGCAATACTTACCCTAATATATTTTGCTTAACACTTTCTGTATCGAAAGGTCATTTTAGGGAGCTGTTTTTCAAGTTCTAATAAGAGAAGAGAACAATGAGTCAGTTAGCATTTCATGGAAATATGTTTTTGAAAGCAATCTAAACAGCAGTACACTGTTAAGCCTCAGTACTGATGCAAACAATCCATCTAAAACTGACAGGATCCTACTGAAATTTTAGAAAACAAAGGAGAGTTGGCCTTTGTTTCAGAACACTCAGTATCTTCCCATGTTCTACATGAGCTTTTAACCTCTGTTGAGTACCTGCTAATGCTGACGGCTGTTCTTCAAAGTTTAATTATTGGGCTAACCAAGGAACAGGGCTGTCTTGGATTAGATGCAGTTTTTAGAAAGAGGAAAATTTACTTCATAAATTGAATGATAATAAACAAATTTTTGAATGACAATAAAACAAATTGACTATTTTGTTTTAAAAAAGAGAAAATAAAACTATTCATATGCAAGACTATATAATCACTTGCTAATTCACCTCAGGAAGCCCAACAAAATGAACAGAAAAAAAGCTTCAAAGCCATTGGCACTCACAGATCTTTTCTGAATGTGAACCGGTTTTGTTTCCTCTGGTTAGGTTAAATGTGTTTTATTCACAGTGCTAAAAAACAAAACCCCCAATATGTACAAATAAATAAAGAAATTGAGCAAATAATATACTGAGAAAATATCTGTGAGCCCTGGTGTGGTACTGTGGGTTAATTTGCTGGACTATAAGGTCTGTTCAGTGGTTCAAGTTCACCAGCAACTCCTCAGGAACCCTATACAGGGTTGCTGTGAGTCAGAATTGACTCAACACTACTAACAACAGCAATTAATATCTTTATATATATTGTTGTTGCTGTTGTTAGGTGCCATCAAGTGAGTACTTACTCACAGGGGCCTCATGCACTGCAGAACAAAACATTGCCCAATCCTGGGCCAACCTCACTATCAGGATTGTTAATTGGTGTGGCACTGTAGTATAAGCACTGAACTGCTAACCACAAGTCAGTGATTCAAACCCACCAACTGCTCATTAGAAACCTTGTGTAGGATCCCTATTTATTATGTGAGTGCCTAAAAGCAGATTTTGTGATAACCCCTAAGGCCCCAGTAGATAAATGAGCAAGTACATTATCTTACAATAGTGTAACCCTTTTGAAGCAATTTGGCAATTTGTATAGGAAGTTTTTTAATGTGCATTTTTGGGACCCAGTTTTACTCAGCATCTGCTAATCTCCTATGGAATTATCCCAACTATGTGGCAAATATTCATCACAGCTCAGCTACATTTACTTGTAATAATGAAAGAAGAGAACTAACCAAAATGCTCATTCTGAATAATGAAATCAGCTATGGTATATTCTCTTATAGAATGCTTCATTGCTGTTGTTGGTAAGTGCCATTGAGTCGGTTCTGACTCAAAGAGACTGGGTATAGGATTTCCTAGTAGCAGCTGGTGGATTTGACCAACTGACCTTATGGCAACAGACTGGTGCTCATCCTACAGTTCCACACCAGGACTCTAGATGTTTCACTGTCATACATGATGGAGGTGGTGTTTATATGCTATGAAGTCAATTCCAACTCCTAGAAACCCTTACTGGATTTCCGAAGCTGTAAATTTTTACGGGAGCAGAAAGCCTCATCTTTCTCCCATGTAACAGCTGGTAGTTTCGAACTGCTGACCTTGAGGTTTGCAGCCCAATACATAACCATTACATTACCAGAGCTCCTTATTATAAATGATACTGTCTAAAAATAATTATAGTTTATAACTACAAATTGTAATACTATAAGTGATTATTAAGGTAAGTATAAAATATGAAATGCTTATAGAACAAGGATGTATGGTATGTGTATCTAATCATACATATAGCATGATTGTTTCTTGGTTAAACCTATGTAAACACACATTCTACAAAAGGACTACAAGGGGATACATCAAAATACTAAGGTGGTAATTTGGAAACAGGGAGATTATAGGACTGTGATTCTTTATGTTGTTTTGTCTTACTAGTTATTTTACCATATTATTAATACTTCATTCAATGAACACATACTTATTTTATAATTTTAAGACTCAAGAAAGTAAAAATAAAATGTAGATCAAAACCACACACAAATGGTGTATAACTGGATTTTGGCATACTTCTGGATAATATGTTTCTATTTAGTTCAGCAAAACCTTAAGAATATATTCAGTAAATCAAATACTTTTCTTTTCTTTTCAAAGCTTAACTTTGGAAGAAGTATTACAGTGGGCCCAGTCTTTTGAAAAGCTAATGGCTACAAAATGTGAGTAATACATACATATTACCTTTGGAATACCAACAGCCTCTTTCTTAGAAGTACAATGGGTGTACTAGGTGATCAGTGCATGCCGCTCTCCTCACAGCTTGTTGGATGACAACCGCCATGGTTAAAAAAAGAAAATCTGCAAGTAGTTTGTCGTGTCAACCTCTATTATTTTCTCTGGTGATAATTAAGACAAGATGACTCACTGTGAATATTTATTCTTCACAAGTATATATATAAAATCCTTTGGGAGAATGCTTAAATAGTAACACATATGGAAATAGACTGTTTCACCATACCCTTCTAAAGTTAGGATGAAGAAACAAAAGTGCCATTGTTAGTGCCTTTAAAACAAATATTAAATTTGAGAAGTGATTTTCTAAGGCTCCTTTTCAAACTTTGCTTCTAACTTTATCAGTGTCTGACTTAAGTGAGGTGGGTGACATATGCATTAATGTACAATTGCATATAAGTGTTAATATGCAAATAGTATAAATGAAAGACAGTAGAAATGGATATGAGGGAGAAAAAAACATAGATTCAATACTAGAAATATGAAGGTGGCTGTAGATTCATATAAATTTGAGGTAGGAAATGGGGAGGTTGTGCCCGCTATATAATTGCCTCTCAATGAATAGTGGTTATCATTTTGCTGTTGTTGTTCAGTGTCTTCGAGTCACTTCCAACTCATAGTGACCCTGTATAGGGTTTCCAAGGAGCACTGGATCATAACAAACTATAAATGACATTGGTTTTGCTCATGAGGAACCTGTGTATAAGCCAAAAGGGGTTATTGAATAGTTCAAAATCAGAAAATGTCTGGATGCATATTCTTTCACCATACTTTTTCAATCTGTATGTTAAGCAAATAATCTGAGAAACTGGATTATATAAAGAAGAACATGGCATTAGGGGTTGGAGGAAGACTTATTAACAACCTGTGATATGTAGATGACACAACCTTGCTTTCTGGAAGCAAAGAGGACTTAAAATACTTACTGTTGGAGATCAAAGACTACAGTCTTCAGTATAGATTACACCTCAGTAGCATAGTGGTTACAAATCGGGCTTCTAATCTCAAAGTCAGCAGTTTGAAACTACCAGGGATTCCACAGGAGAAAGACGAGGCTTTCTGCTCCCATAAAGATTTACAGCTTCTGAAACCCTATGCAGGGTCACTAGGGGTCAGAACTGACTCCATGATACATTACCACCACCATAAAGAAACCCAAATTCCTTACATCTGGACCAAAATATAACATCATAGTAAATGGAGAAAAGATTGAAGTTGTCAAAGACTTCATTTTATTTGGATCCACAACTCATGGAAGCAGTATACTCATACTGCTTGGATCCACATACTCATGGAAGCAGTAGCCAAGAATCAAAGGATGTGTGCCACTAGGCAAGCCTTCTGCAAAAGACCTCTTTTAAAGTGTTAAAGTACAAAAATGTCAGTCTGAAGACTAAGGTACACTGATCTAAACCATGGTATTTTCAATAGCATCAAATGCATGTGAAAGTTGGACAATGAATGAGGAAGATCAGAGAAGAATTGATGCATTTGAATTATGGGGTTGGGGAATACTGAAAGTACAATGGACTACCAGAAGAACAAACAAATCTGTTTAGGAAACAGTGCAAACAGAATATTCCTAAGAAGTGAGAATTGAGAATTCTTCTCATACTTCACACAAGCTATCAGGAAGGCCTAGTCCCTGGAGAAGGACATCATGTTTCACAAAGTGAAGGGTCAGTAAAAAAGAGTAAACCCAACAAGATGGAATGACAGTAGCAGCAACAAGGGGCTCAAACATCACAATTACGAGGATGGTGAAGGACTAGGCAGTGTCTCAATATGTTGTGCATAGATTCACTGTGAGTCAGAAATGACTCAACAGCATCTAACAACAGCAACAACAAATCTTAATAGAGATGCTGTAGAAATGGGAGATACATAGAAAAGTGGATTTACAATCACCTAAAAACTGAGAATGCTTCAGATTGGGAAGCTCCACTAAGTAATGACTGAAATCTAAAGTGCCAGAAAAATATATGTAGAAGGCTTGTACTTTGTAAATAAAAGTCTTATAATAAGCTTTTTTTTTTTTTTTAATTTATTCAATGTTTTTATTTTGGATTGAGTGAAAGTTTACAGGGCACATCATCAGCTTCACATTCAACCATTCATATAGCTTGTTTCATTACAT